CTAGAAATAGAAATTCCATTTGACCCAGCAATCCCATTACTGGGTATATACTCAAAGGATTATAAATCATTCTATTATAAAGACACATGCACATGTATGTTCATAGCAGCACTGTTTACAATGGCAAACATCTGGAACCAACCCAAATGCCCACTGACAATAGACTGGACAAGGAAAATGTGGCATATATATACCATGGAATACTATGCAGTCATAAAAAACAATGAGTTTGTGTCCTTTGTAGGGACATGGATAAACTTGGAAACCATCATTCTCAGCAAACTGACACAAGAACAGAAAATCAAACACTGCACATTCTCATATAGAGGTGGGCGTTGAACAATGAGAACACATGGACACAAGGAGGGGAACATCACACACTGGGGTCTGCTGGAGGGGGCCAAGGGAGGGACAGTGGGGAGGTGGGTAGTCTGGGAGGGATAACATAGGGAGAATTGCCAGATGTAGGTGACTGGGGGATGGAGGCAGCAAACCACATTGCCATGTGTGTACCTATGCAACAATCCTGCATGATCTGCACATGTACCCCAGAACCTAAAGTACAATTAAAAAAGAAAGAAAGAAAGAAAGAATAAAAAGAAAAAAAAGATAAAAAGAATAAAGCTGGAACTCAGTCCTGTGTGTGGCACTCAAGACTGTTTTCAATTTGGTACAGAAAAAAAAAATGTTTTTGATCTCTTCAAATAACATATACTGTTTGTCAGTGTTAAAAAGTGTTATATATCTGTTTCCAAAAAGGCAACTGAGCCTTCATAAAGGAAACCTGTGGTATCTGACTTCTACTTGTTCTATGACATATTTATTATGCTGTATTTTCAGACCAAAAATACTCTTTAAATATATAGGACAAAAAATTAAAATTACATCAACTTAGATTTCCACATTATACGGACACAATTTTTAAAAATATTACTTGACTGTTATGTGGATTGTTTGTGCAAATAATCCCCTATTCATGTGGATTCATTTTTGTTGTTGTTGTTGTTGTTTTTCTGAGAGGAAGTTTCGCTCTTGTTACCCAGGCTGGAGTGCAATGGCGCGATCTCGGCTCAACGCAACCTCCGCCTCCTGGGTTCAGGCAATTCTCCTGCCTCAGCCTCCTGAGTAGCTGGGATTACAGGCATGCGCCACCATGCCCAGCTAATTTTTTGTATTTTTAGTAGAGACGGGGTTTCACCATGTTGACCAGGATGGTCTCGATCTCTTGACCTCGTGATCCACCTGCCTTAGCCTCCCAAAGTGCTGGGATTACAGGCTTGAGCCACTGCGCTGGCCTGGATTGTTTTTAAGTGAGTGCAGATGTAACCTCAATATATGCCTTGGTTACAGAAGCTTTTGAGTTGCTGGACACGTTTCTAAATTTGATTTACCCTGAACAAACTAGGGCAACTCAAAACCTAATTCTGAACTCCTGTCTATGATGTGTTATTTTTAAGATTTTCATGCCCATTTTATTAATTATAAAAACACCAGTAAAAGGCTTGTCTCTCTATTGTGTCCATTCATACATTGTTCCAAACTGTTAAAATTGCTGTGATTGTGAAATATGTTCTCTCTGGTATTATCAGCTCTCTCTTACCGCCATTGTTTTTCACTTTTCAATTGCCTTCCTAACTATATTAACTTTATATTCACACCAGCTTTAAAATCCCTCTGTTTAGTTTCTAACGAATAGTTTATTTTAAATTTACTTTATTAAGTTATAACTTATACACAGTATAATAATTTTTATCACGCTGTTCAACAGGTTTTACCTATTTACCCCCATATTTAAGATAGCAAAGATTTTTCATCACCCAAAAAATTCTTTAATGTCTCTTCTCAGTTAGTCAATACTCACATCTGGTTCAAGGTAACTGCTGCTCTGTTGTCTACTCCTGCAGATTAAATTTGTTTTTTTTTGTGTGTGTGTTTCACATCAATAGAATGACGCGCATGTGCTCATTTGCATCTGCATTCTTTCATTGATTATAAGGTTTTTAGATTGATTATGTGATTATGTCTATCTAGCTTGTTACTTTTTAAAATTTCTGTAGTATTTCATTGCATGGTGTATCAAAATTTGTTTATTCATTCATTTGTTGGTAGATAGTATTAGGGTTGTTTTTGACTATTATGAATAAAGCTTCTCTAGGCAACCATGTGCAATTCTTTGTCTGGACATATTTTCATTTCTCCTCCACTTAGTGTAACTTCTCTGTTATTATTCTAGATCATTTTCATTTTCATAAAATTCTAAAGATTGCATTGAATCTATGAATAACTCAAAAAAATTTAAAAATGCTAATAATCCATAAAAATGATATATCTCTTTATTATTTTAGGTTTTATATTTCTTTAATGTTTTATAGGTATCATTATACAGATCAGCTCTGTAGTTATCATTATAAAATATATTTTGTTAAATTTATCTTTAAGTATATTTAAGTACATGGTTAAGTTTTAATAACTGATATTAAAATAAATTGATTTTATATATCAATATTGTATTCTTAGAGAGAGGGTGGAAAACTCCCTGTGCTAGTAAAGAATCAATAATATAAATCAATTATTATTTTTCTTTCTTCCCATCTGAGTTTTAGGACATATGCTGATCAAGAAGTGTGGCAGTGGCCTACCACCTATGAAGAAAAATCCAAATTACTTTGTCTAAGCAGCCAACCTTGAAATATGATGTGCACTGGATTTGAGTTCAGATAACTCTGTGTGAGTTATTTCTGGAGTTAAGTGAGGTAATGGAGAAAGAATATCTATTCAATATTCTCAGTCCTTTTGTAAATTGAAAATAAAGTGATTAAAAAATAATTTTAATTACCAATAGTTACTAGATTGAAAATAAGCAAGTTGTGAAAAGTTATTTATGTTTTAAGAAACACTAAACTTCTGAGCTCAGCATCAGGGTTACGAATCATGCATTCTCTGACTGCTGCTTTATTATTCGTCTTAGAGATAGATGGCCCAGGATCACTCATTATGTTGAGATATGCTCCTAGTATTATTCATCTAGTTTCCTGAACCATGACTAACTAGTTAGCATACCTTAACTTGGCCAATGACAACAAAATTGTAACACCTTGAAAACTAGTATTGAAATAATGGCAAAATAATAATATCTATTTCAGAAAAAAAAAAAAAAAAAGAATGATGGTCATGGCTTGGGAAAAACAAAATAAACAAAAAAAAACCAGAATGTTTAGAGGCCTAAAAAAGAGTTGCTGGTGCAAGCAGAAAGCACACACACATACACACGTAATGAGAAGATGGGATTGTTCGTGTAAAGCAACAGCCAAAACACGAACTCATGCCTACTTGCTTTTTTAGCTCTCCTGGAGATAATTAACAAATGTAGGTCTCTCCACAGCAACACTCTTCTGTTGGCCCCTGACCAATAGGTAACTACATTCCCAAAGATACTGGTCTAATTCCTTCTCCCTGGCAAAAGAGCTCAGGGGAAAAGCACAGCTTAGTCTCTTTTTCAGTTACATCTACCTACTCCCGATAGACTTCACCCAAACAAGTTCAAGGATTCTAAACAAGATGTTTTTCTTTTCAGCCTGTCCAACTTGGCTCAGCTTCCTTGTAGAGCAGTTCTAGTATGATTCAGCCTGATTCTGGAATACAATCAAATGATGCTTGTTTCCTTTCTTCATCTGCTGTAAGGAAGTTTCTAATCTCACAAGGCAAATTTCTGCTTTATCTGGAATTCACATTCAAAAATTATGTCTACAGCTAACAAGTATAAAAGATGAGAGAGAGATTCCTGGACACATTGAATTTATCCACAAAATTGATACAACAAAAAATTAAGGCAATATTATGATAGGTTCTCTAATTTGTATATATAATAAAGTAATATTGTACGGAGTAATTCCAGGCTAAGTGACTAAATATTTATAGTGATAATCCGTGTATACACACAGTTACTTTAAAATAAAAGCAAAATGATGGCATACACATAGCTATATTTAAACAGTTAGTAATATAAAATTAAAATTGTCCATCTTTTCATGCCTTTAGTAGCTCAGATGATTTCTCAAAGACCATGGCAAAAAGAAGATCTAATTTAAGTGACACAATCTCACTATGCAGTACCAGATTCTAAACTGCACCGGGCCACTCATCCAGACCTCACTTTTCAGTAGCCAGATGCTGAATGATATATTATCACAACCAACAAGCCAACAGACTTAGCATGTTGCTGACTTACCAGTAAATTCAAATAATTTGAGGACAGCAAAGAGCACTTTTGGTTTGAGCAGAATATATCAGTATTTCCCATTTCCCCTTCACTACAATATTATAACACTAAATGTACCACAATACAATAACACACGTGGAATATTTTTATTGAATTTTTGGTAAGATGTCTAAATTATATTTTCTTTTGCAATAAGTTTGTTACCACTATTATTAATACTGACTTTACTTAGGTAAAGTCAGTAAAATTCATTGATTTTTTTACAGCAACCAATAGTCTCCTTTTTCTTACTTACTCATAATCAGCACGATGGGAAAGATATTGAAATAAAATTACAATGGAACTTTACAGTGGAATGAGGAGTGTATCACATAGTGTTCAATATGCAGAAACAGCTTTATAATGGGTAAGGAGGCCACCTTTTCTGAGCCACAGTAATAGCATCCGCAAGAGATAGCAACTATCTTTGCCATATCAAAACCCAGCCTTTTAAAGTAAACATTGTTTTTTAATTTTATTTTAATGTATTTTAATAGCAAACTTACAGGAACGGCACAGAAGACAGACAACATTAAAATCATGTACTTGCAGTATAGGACAACTCAGAAAAATATAGTGAATGTATGGAATCTACTGTATGATAAAAATACTACAAACACCATTTAGTTGCTGTCAGTAAGAAATCTACCTGTTTAAAAAAAATCAAAATGCTAGCACTGTCCAGAAAAATTTAACAGGTTTATTCATAATTATTATCAAGTTGAACCGCTGAAACGTGTTCACTGAAATATTTTAATTTGCATTAATGCTTTACTTCTCCGCATTTACATTAAAAATTCAGACACAAAGAAAATAGAAAAACTGCCAATACCTGATTACTGTCCCCTATTTTTCCATTCGCAGTCATACACTTAGGTACCTTTTGATCCCATGGGAAAAAAAAATATCTAATGTTCAGAACTACCAATAACAGCAAGAAGTATTTTTTTTTTTTTTTTTTTTGAGAATGAAATGTTTCCCATCATAGTGGATTCTTAAGTATGCAGTGTGCTAGCTGGATGTCTTTTGCAATAATTGTTACACATTTGGCATGGATAGCGCACAGGTGGGCGTCTTCAAAAAGGCCAACCAGATAGGCCTCACTTACCTCCTGCAAAGCATGTATAGCTGCATGAAAGCGCAGATCTGTTTTAAAGTCCTGAGCAATTTCTCGCCTTAGACTCTGGAAGGGAAATTTGCGAATCAGAAGTTTAGTGGACTTCTGATAACGTCTAATTTCATGGTGTGCCACAGTACCAGGCCTGCAACGGTGAGGTTTCTTCATCCCTCTCGTAGAGGGCGCACTCTGGTGAGTGGCTTTTGCCGCCAATTGCTTCCTGGTGCTTTTACCATAGGTGGATTTGAGGACAGTCAGCTTTGTACTAGCCAGGCTATAGAGACCTCCTTACTTACCCACTTCTCCTTCCGCTAGAGCTCCGCCAGCAGGAGGCGGGACTGGAGCGCGGAGAGCAAGAGGCGGAGCTGGAGCGCGTTGGAGAGCAACAGCAGCATGGCGGTGGCTGCCACAAACATTGTTTTATGCAGATGGCTAAACTCTACACCATGCTCTTTAATGGAAAGTATGTACATAGGGAGAAGAGGACATACGCCTTTTAACTGTAGTACTCTAACGCAATTTCTCACAAACAGTACTTTCCAATCTCTTTCTTCTTTTTTTCTCACATAATTTATATCGTTGAGGTGACTTTTATCTTCTGACTCCGTTCAGGACCTTAGCAAGTAGTAAGCTTACTATAAGAGAAAAAAAAAAATACGTAAGATGAATAGGTCTTCTTTAACGCATTCCAACATCACCAAAATGTTCATTGCTGAAAAAATGCAGGTTATAACCCTCCAGGAATGTAAAATCTAATTAGTATTTCTTATGATAAATCAATAATTTAAAGTAATTACTCTCTAAAGACAGGCTTTTAGCCATTGTGACTAAAGATGTTAGAAATGTCTCTTCAGATTTCTCAATATTTCTCAGATTATGTGTTATTGGAGGGATTCCTTTTTTGTGAATAATGTTGTCCCTGCCTCCAGTACTTAGGCTGTGATTGAGGAAAAATATCCCATTTTGAATTTGAAATTGGAAAGGCCCTTCAAAGGCTTGGCGTATTGTGTTCTTTAGAGCCATCCCTCTGTATTGGTAGAGAAGCTGTCAGGCAATCTTGGAGATATGAGTAACCCCTGACTGCTTTAGACACAAAGTACAAATGATTTTACTTCATATAGTAACAAAAACGCACTCTTATCAGGACATCTGTTGTCCTCTTTCAGATCTGCCACAACATATCCTATTTTAGCTGTTTTATGTAACTATCTTAATTAGTCAAAGCATTGTTGTAAAGTCTGACTCTTCGTGGCAATCTATCCAAACTCTTCAGGAGAGCCCATTAAATGACATATCTGTTACTGTAAGTTAGTCAGCAGATTTCCTTCACTGGCCTCTGTTCTCCAGAAAATGATCTAAAGCCATTGGATGCTCTTATACTATGGGGAAAAGATGGGCATTCAAAGATATACATTCTTGTTATCATTGTCATCAATGCGGACATATTTTAAAGAGGTTGAAATCAACTTCCTGTACTTGGAGCAAGCACATGATGTCGTTTGAAATACTTGTCTTTTTTTATAAACTGGGGGGATTTGATAAAGCCTGTTCTTTAAAGTCAGCGACTAAGCCATTCCATGATAATTAGAGTTCTGAACCATGTTTATGGGGAGCCCAATGTTAAGTCGATGGTAAGTGTTTATACATCTATATTATTCAATTAATAATTTTAAGTATAAAGCATAAAAAAGTGAAGTAAAAGAGTTGAAAAAAGATTATTTTAGACTTCTTTGTACAGACACCACTAATCTTTTTTCATTTCATTTATTTATTTATTTTTATGACGGAGTCACTCTGACACTCAGACTAGAGTGCAGTGGCGTGATCTTGGCTCACTGCAACCTCTGCCTCCCAGGTTCAAGCATTCTCCTGCCTCAGTTTCCCAGGTAGCTAGGAATATAGGTGTGTGCCACTATGCATGGCTAATTTTGTGTTCTTAGTAGAGACGGGGTTTCACCATGTTGGTCAGGCTGATCTTCGATTTCTGACCTCATGATTTGCCCGCCTCGGCCTCCCAAAGCGCTGGGATTATAGGCATAAGCCACTGTGGCCAGCCCTTGTTTTTATTTTTAATAGGTGAGAAAATATAAATAAAGTGCTATGCCAAAGGTAATTTTAGAAATTAGCTCATCTGCAACCAGAATTCATGTTTACTTTGTTCATCACTTGTAGTTTTCCTGGCAATCCTATTCAAGTCAACATGGCATAATATATTTTATTGCTTTGTTCTCTCCTTCCTATGATTGAACACTAAATAATCAAGCTAAAATTATATTTCCATCTATAGCCTGTTTTTGTTCACCTCCTTTTGTCTAGCACAGAGCTTAGTCAGCTATACATACTATTTTGTATTTGTCACATAGAATTTTTCTTGAGAAAACTGATTAGCAATTGAAGAAGTAAATGGAACCTATTGGAATTCATGTTCCATGGTCATTCCACTTGCATTATAGACAAAATGACTACGATTTGACCCATTACTTACCTCTCAGGAGCAAGCCACTGCTTCCTGATCATTTATCTTCACTTTGCCCACCTAATGATAAATTATGATTTTATGGATTCTGTGTAACTGGCATCCTGAAGAATATCTGAATGTAATACACCTATGTTGTAATACTCCACCAACTATATCCTGATATTTGGGTTTTTTTTTTTTCCTCTAGATCACCAGGGTTACTTTCATTACCAATCTTATGAGTTTTATGGGTTTCATTATAATGTAAATCCACAGAAATTTGAGGATTAAGGAGTAAAATCATTAGTTATGTCTTCAGGGGATAACTATGGTTACCTCGAAAAACCTTGTAAAGTTGTCATAAAATGATACATAGGACATTTTAAATGACTTATGAAAAAGGAATGCTGCCAGGCAGCAACCCCTTTTGTAGCTAAGGATATAAAACACTCTGTGTTTAGGGAAGAAGCAGTTAAATGACCACGCAAACATAAAGTGTAGTGCTCCCTGATAAACTGAAGTGACGCCATTAAAAGCTGCAATAAAAAGGGCAGATCACTGGCCGACTAAGCATAATAGCACAGGAGACTTAATCGGCTTCTTCAACAGGGTTCATTTCCTTTCCTGTGCTTTTTATAGTGTGGACTTGAAACCAACAAAAAATATCCATTCTGTCTTTTTCATGTCTGTTAACAAAATCTGTAATTCAGGTCCTGATAATTCTTCTGTGATAGCAATTGAATTATTGTCTTCTCAAGTCCTCAAGTCTTCCCTCATCAAAATTTTCCTTCTTCCAACATCCAAATACACAAAGCTACCTCAAATCAGGTCAACCCCATGGCCTCACTGCTGATTTAAGAGCTCTGCTACTGTCCAGAAGAAATAAAAAAGTATCTTTAGTCATGTCTTCTCCCTCAAAGATAGTCTCAGCTTCAAAAGCTTCAACTCTGCAGTCCACTAAGATGTAAAAACCCAGCCCTCTCCTCTGTTCACTGTATCTACCTCCTCCATCCCCTTCACTTGAGGACATTGCTTTTTCATTTTTTATTCCGTGCCTGCCATATATATTTCCTTCTTCTCATGATTATCTGAGTTATGTTTTTTCCTGTTTGAAATACTGCTGGACATAGTGGAAATTATTGATTCAACCACCAAAATCCATATGCAGTATAAACATTTGAGCGTGTCAATACAATGCTAACAATTTGATGAAGTTAATAGTAGACAAGATAAGATGCTTTGAAAAATTGACAACTTCTATGAACTTTAGTTTTTTTCCCTTTCAAGAGGGGAAATTCCAGAAAGCTATTGCTAATATCAGTGAAAGAAAATGAATGGGAAAGTATGGCTTATGTGTTAATGTGCACAGAAGACATAAACAAAAACAGGTTGTAACAGGCAGAAGGAAATTAAGAATAATACAAAAGCATATGATGTAATTCAATGGCTTCCATTAGATGGGATGTGTTTTTCAACCAGGGAGAAAAAAGCAAAACCAAAAACTTCTCACCCTCCGAAAAGCAAGGACTTTTAATAATTCGTTATAAAATTAAGTAACATACCCCATAGAGTACAGATAGGGAAGGGTGAGAAGAGAGAAATAGAAAGACAGATACAGCAAAATAAAAAAGTTATGGATTGACCTTTCAATCTATTGATCAATCTATCTAAGATTGTTACAGAGAGAACCGAAACATGCCAGAGAAGAGTACCAGAGCTATTCAGCAATGCAGAGGAAGTTGCTGATTTTTGTTGTTGTTGTCGTTGTTGTTAGAGTGGATGCAGAGCAGAGACCTGTTCAACAAAAAAAGTAGTTTTTTGATGTTTTCAAGTGAAATTATTAAGGAAGGACAAACTTCAAACGCAAGCATTTCGCAGCTGAGTGTGGTTGGGAAAGCTAGAGAAATAGAAGTTGGCAATGCAGTAAAGAATTAACTTGGGAATTGTAAACAGAATTTAATGTCAATTCTCTACAATTGTTTTCCTAAGTGATCTTTCCAGTCCACATTAACATAGAAACTCCAGGGACCATCAGCCATCGTTAGCCAGAATGATCCAAAAGAAAATCTACTGGACCACGTTCAGTTTTGCTAAATATTTTTCTAACTTTTGGGCAAGGAATGATTCATAGTTAATACTTGAAATTCTGTGTCTGATATGGCTCATTATGTTTTTACTTAATCTAAGTGTACAGAAATTTGTATAGACATTTCATTGTATAGTTAAAACTCTGACACGAATATCACTGTTGTCATAGTAAGATTCTGAATGAAAGAAAGCCTACACATTTGGTTTCATAAATATATATGAATTTATTCAACATTAATGGGTAGTAGTAATGCAAACCCACTAAGTGATGCCCAAATGAGACTATTCCAGAGCAGCTGAGTGTGGGCAATAACCATCTTAGTATGCGGTACATTACCACCATGTGATGTTGAAAGTTTATACATTAATATTAAACATTTTGGTTATATCTATGATTTTAAGTATTAATATAACAGCCACTTTACCCATCTTTAGAAACATCAAGGGAGATTAAAGATAGATAGGAATTCAATGACATTTCTCTAGTTTTCATAGACAAAGGAAGAGTGGGTTTTACCTTTGTGCAAGATGTAGGGCACCAAGTTATGAACTGGGAAGATAGGCTGTGCTCATAAGACCAAGTAAGATAATGTTGGGGCCAATACTGATTGAAATCACTAATCTTCATAATCCCCAGGAGCTTTTCTAACTCCACTCTAACCTGTAATACATCTTCCTAGTGTTTTATACTGACTGGAAACTATTGACACCAAGTTGAGATTATGAGGATCATGGAGTATGGCATAGGGTGAGCTATCAGAGATCTATTCTAGAGGTTTACAGTTGTGTTTCTCAGGGATTGTCCTTCCCAATATTCTTCTTCCTCAGACTATTTTACCCCATGTCACCCAAGAACAGCCAAAATAATTAGAGGTGGCAGGCTAGGCCTATCCTTAGTTTTCCAAAGCAGGTAAGAATACTTTTGCTTTCATATGTTTTCTACAATAAATTACTGAGTAAGATATTTTAAGCAAAATATTCTTCGAAAATTCTTTGGAAATCCACTGATCAAGGCTAATATTCCAACCTTTTGAATAATTCCGACCATTTCTTACTGAGGGATCAGATTAAAGTTTTAATTGCCATTACAAATGAGACTTATTATTTTAGTTGGATGTCACATTGACACTAGCTGACATGCAGTGAAAGTTATCCTGCCTCCTATGTTCTTTCCATTTTTTATGCAATCAAAATAATGGTTATATAAATTATGTATAATAAATTTTTACATGTAAAAATTTATATGTAGTTTCAATATATGTTGTTTGTGTTTGTCCTTTATATAGTCTATATATTTAAGCTTTTCTCTAAGTAAAGTCACAGTTAGATAGACTTAAATGATTCATTAAATGTTTTCCACTGAAGTAAAAATAGTTATTCAAAAGGCCAAAGAAACCCTGATGAATAAGGCAAAGACAGTGAGTTTTGATAAGACAAGTTTACAGCACAGTGGATGTGTGATGGGAGAAAAATATTGATTATTTCTTTTATTTTCTGTTTTTCAGTGCTTTGACATCTGAGGCCCTGCTGACTGTGGGGCAATTGTCCTTCTCTGGGATAGCTAGTTCTCTGAGATTGCAAACAACTAACAGTAAGTATGCTATTAAATGTGTATCAACCAATCCAGAACCCATACTCCACCACCTACTCTGTCGAGCTCTCACACCTGGTCCACTAAGCACTTGCCTTAATCACTCCAGGGTCCCATACCAGACCACTATCACTTGTGTCCTGGAGCCTGCAGAAATTATTCAAACTAGCCAATTTAAAGTCAGTTTACCTGGCCTTTCCTATTCTTTCCTGCAGAAGTCACAATAAAGCTCTTGCCCATATTTTCCTCTTGTTCATCTGACCCTTGACTGACCCTGGTGCTTCCCTTTGTGCCCTTATGCATGATGTTCTATGCCTCTGTTTCTACTGAATAGCAGTAAATGTGCTCATTTATGACAATCATTTCTGTGTCTGTACATCTTACTTACCATACCTAAATAAAAAAAAATTATGGACACCCTTAAAATTGGATATAGCATTACATTGTTTTGAATTCTAGTTCCTCGGGTTTCTAAATGTGTGACATTGAATACATTACTTAAGAAAAGAATTTGTGTTTCCTCAGCTATATGTAGTAAAATAATAATATTTAACTCAAATAATTGAGTGTTTTATATATACATATAAACTATACATATAGTTTTATTGAGTGCTTATATATATAAATTGAGTATTTTATATATGTAATTTAGAATAGCACCTGTCAAAAAATAAATATTCAATAAATATGAGCTATTTAAAAATATATATAAATTGAGTGTTTTATGTATATAGTTTAGAACAGTATCTGTCAAAAATTAAATGTTCAATAAATGTGAGCTATTGTTATAAAATATAATAAGCATGGTATGATTATTATAATTACAAATCTCCAAATTTATAAAATAATTTAACATATAACAAATTGAACTCACGGACTATATTTTAACTTAATTGTAATTCATTGCACATGTGTACCTTCTATACATCTGCTTAAATTTTAATTATTTCTTAACTAGAAAATATTTTCATTTATCTTAAAAAGATGACATATTACCCCACTAGCTATCGTCCAAGCATCATAGCCATTAGACTTATTGTTGAATAACTAGAAAAGTAGAAAGATTAACTAACTAGGCCAAATCACTACACAGATTTTCTTCCTTATTTCTCGGAGACTGACATTCAGGGATGAAAGACTCTATTCTATGATCACAATTGCAGAATTCCTTACACAATTCCAACCCAACTGACACCCAAGAGCTCCCCAGACTTGTGTCCTCTTAACTAATTTTCTGTTAAATGAAGTCCTGAGGTAGCCTGAGCTAGTCTAAGTTCCCTCTCATAAGTATTCATTACTGTTTTTGTAGGTTGAAAGAGGGAAAATTTGTGGAAACATGAGAAGCAAAGAAGATCAAAGAAGAGCAGGAAGAGGCAGAGA